CGCAATAACTTAAAAATTTGTAAAATTTCCCAAAGTTTACGTTCCTGTGATGACGTCATCCCGCATAATTTTCCGCATAATTCACCCTTTTCTCTGCATAATATAGGGAAAAAATTCCGCATAATTTTGATTTTTTTCGCGCATAATTCCGACATGCCTGCTTAAAAGACATTCACACTGATGATATAAAATTTTAGTGTTTAATGTAAATTGTGAATGAGAGTCTTTGGCTGCAAACATTCTGGATGTATTTGAGGTGCCCATAGTCCATTCAATTGACTATAATAATAATTAAAGACTAAAAGATATGTTGTATTCTCTCAGCCTGTATCTACCTAAAAAACATGGTTATTCAGTACTGGAAAGACAGGGATCCCAATGACTTTCCTGATGGCGACATCCCATTCGTTGTACCTGAACAAGACAAGGCCTTCATGAGAGAACATGTCATACAAGCAGTGATCAATGCACCTGACTTGATTCGGTAAGAATCATTATAAAACTCATTAATATTCATAAGGCAAAACACAATAGAAATCATAGCCCATGAAGAGAGTTGTATATTACATACAGATTTCTTGTTCATTTGCATAAACTTTAACTCTGATTTTCTCGGTCAGATTGATTTTTTTTTCAAAAGTTTCTTTAAAACCTGAGCTAGTTTACCTCAACGTTTCATAAGCAATATACAATATTCGCGGGGTATCATTATAACCTGGAGAGGTGATGATGGGTAATTACCAGAGAGTGAACTAATCCCTTATATTGCGCTGTGCTTGCCCTCGTGCCCCAGTTGCGATCCTTTGTCCTGCATGCGAGTTCTACTCTGATTTGATCAAGCAACTGCGAGCGAACGTCCTCTCGCACAGATCGCCCGCTCATATTGCATATATTACCTATAAAACTTCAAACCTTCAAAAATTTCAAACCTATGTAATTTATCTGTGATTTTCTAAGAGGAAAACCCATATTCTAAGGGTGCTTTCCATTTAGGCAGAACTGGCCGGCCAGTCCACTCTATTTAGAGGTAGATAATGCTTTTTATCAACGTTTTTCAGTCATTTCAAGGTTTTCTGTAGAATAATGGATAGAAATTGAAAATTTGGATTTCCTAACTAATGGGAATGACATTTTCTCTGGGTCTGGCCAGCCAGTTCTGAAAAATGGAAAGTCCACTACAATATATCCAGATATACAAATGCATTGAGATCTGGATACATGAAAAAAGTTGCACATCCACAGTGTATGGCAAGGGATTTTAAAGGTATACACATACAGTATGTAAGTGGTTGCCACGGTGTTGCGGTTAGGTCGGCTATTCAGAGGAAATATGGCACAAAAACCTGAGGGTGCCTTGATGTATAATTATGTAGCATTGACTGTGTACAAAAATTCCAAAAAACTCAGTACAACAAGCATTATCTTAATACTAAAGTTCTATCTAACTACTGAGTTCTTCTCTGAAACTAATTTAAAATTTATTTGATAAAGTTAAAAGACAATGGTTGTTTGCAGGGTCCAGCTAACAGTATGTGTTGGTCAGATGTTAAGGCATGATTTTCCACAAAAATGGCCGTCTATTATAGACAAAGTGAACATGTTTTTGACCAGTGGTAACCAGGCTGCATGGATGGGGGCATTGCTGTCACTTTATCAAGTTGTCAAGAAATACGAGTATCCTTGCTAATGCAGTCAATAACCCAGTTTTGTATTCTACAATGCTCTGTGTTAGCTCATTTGTG